TGCGCCGCATGCGGGCCTGGATGTTAAACGGCACTTCTGGGAGGCGTTAGATGAGATTGTGCACTAGGTTCTGCCTGCAAAGAAGCTATTCATAGGAGGGGATTTCAATGGTCATATCGGGTCGAACGCAGGTGGTTATGGCGAGGTACATAGAGGCTTCGGTTTCGGGGAGAGGAACGGAGGAGGTACCTTGTTGTTGGAATTCGCTAAGGCTTTTGGGTTGGTGATTGCAAACTCTAGCTTTCTGAAGAGAGAGGAGCATCTTGTTACCAGTTTATCAATCCTATCCATCGGGCATATATATAGCTCATCCACGTTAGTTAATTTTATCTCCTTAGTGTAATCTATAAGCTCAAAGAATGAAATCCTATCTACATTTATATCTAAAGTCAAGTATTGACTGCCCCCCACATATCTACTAAAAGGACCAATAATTAACTCACCCCCGTGATACCACTTTAAAGTAATAATTTTAAAAGACATTGTCCCTGAAACAAGCAAACAATATGTTTCAATTTCATATGCAAACAAAGAATAAAGAAATTAAAATAGACAATAAAGAAAGATATAACACAATAAAGAAAGAAAAAGACAACACAAGCTCAAAAGCATCAGGTTTCAGTAGACAATGACAAGAGATTCCCCATAAAGTTGTCTTAAAGCCCTAAAATTACTCTTGACAAAATACCCAAATAAACCCTAACTATTTCGACTCATCCATCGAAAAATATAAATATGTGTTCTCGTCGGAGTCGCCTTCAAAGGTTATGGCTAAAGAACATTTTGGTAAAAATATAAATATGTTTGTTAATCTGGTCGAGGTGTGGTTTTAACCTAGCCTGTCAGATCTTTTTTGGGTCGGGATTAAATCTTGGGTCGGGTTGTCCATTTTTAATTAAAAAATCATTTGTTTTTAATTTAAATAGGCGTGTGTACACATAGCATTGAGTATTAACTAGGCTAGTCAAAAGTAGTGTGTCATTGACACACTTTTGAAAGGTTTGGAGTGTAACGTTAAACTCGTGATCAATAGGTGTGTAATAGGGATTTGAGAAACTGACTCAATAGTCCAAATGAGTTAGATGCATGTAAAGTCATTACTGGGTGAAATGAAATTTTATTTTAACCAAAAAATAATAATAATAATAATAATAATAATGGTTCCACATGAAGTTCAAACTCTTTATTTGGTTTCCGAATGATGATGGTATTTTATCACTATACTATCTATGATAATTGTTAGCCCCTTGACAAAGGTCCTCGGCAGGTGTGAGTTGTGATAAGAATTTTCATGATGGCCTTGGCACACAACCTGAACAATTGGGCGACATCATGATGGGCTGCTCGGCATGACGGACTATGCGGGATTGACAAACGCACCTTGAACGGAAGCAAGGCGCATTTTACTTGGACGTGCGGGTTGGAAAAACAATGACAAGGCAAAGCCATGTCAAAGCAGGGGCAAAGATATGGCAAGGCAAGGCAAGGCAAGGCAATGCGTGACAAGTAATGACAATTGATGCGGGCAGATTTAATCAAGTTGGGGGCGACTTGACATAAGCGGGAAATTGTGGAAATGAACGTGTGCGGCTAAGTCAGTGGGTGGCGAGCTGGGGACATGACATTGGTGTAGAGCAGTGTCAAAGGCAAGGCTGGGCGCAATGCCAGCCTTGGGCACGAAGCAGCTGGGCAAAACAGGCACATGTTGTGCACATGCAGCAGTTGAAAAACGTGTGCAAGGCATATGGAAGGCCATTGGTGTTTACAAACCACAACTAAGACATGGCTGATCATGACCTAAAAATGGGGGCACGTTTTTATACTTGTCTTAACTTGTTTCCCCATCAGTTGAGGCTTGTCAACTGATTGTATTAGTCTGCCTTATAAATATGTGACTAGGCTGTCCTAAACATGGCGGAAAATTAGAGTCTTGTGGCAGAAAATAGCCAATTTCATCTAAGTCATTTCCTAAGGGTGGGAAAATTGTTTTGGGGCAGGGAATTAGGGAATTCTTTGTCTTAGCCATAGGGTTGTCTATTGTGTTCTTGTATTCACATATTAATACGAGTTGGGAAGACATTCGTATATATCGTGTGTGCCTTTATTTACAGTTTTTGATGCCTTAATCTTTCTAAGTTCAAAACGTCCCTAAAATAAAACTAAGTGTTGGAAAGGCTGAAGTCAAGGCTGGGCTTGACTGCCGCATGGAGGTGAACCTCGGGCAGAATTCGAGTGACATAAATCACCACTGTGACAATTGGTATTAGAGCGTGGTTGGATCGAGGTGAAGACACAACATTCAGTGGCTGAATTTTATGAAGAATGGCTGGTGGCAAAGCAGAACTGAGGGAAAAGGTTGCTGCATTAGAGGCATTCGTCAGAACTATTGATGGGGATCAATTTCTGACTATCGTGACTCGTCTCGCCTATCTTGAGGCCAAGATGAACAGGCTAAGCCAGGAGTGCACAGATCTAAAAACAGAAAATGGGTTGTTACGTCGTGCTGTTGGCAATGATAAAGCATAGCGTGGGGAAGATCGTACCAAAGTCAAAATTTCGGAGCCTAAAGAGTTTAATGGCGCAAGGAGTGCCAAGAAACTTGAAAATTTCCTATGGGATATGGAGAAGTACTTTCAGGCTGCCAAAGTGCGAGATAAAGATAAGGTCACCATTACGACTATGTACTTGGTGGACGATGCAAAGCTTTGGTGGCGGACGCACGTGGCAGATGATGTAAGTGCGGGTAGGCCGAAGATTGACTCTTGGGAAGGGCTGAAGAAAGAGTTGAAGGATCAATTCTTTCTTAGCAATGCGGGCTGGACTGTTGCGGATGCGTTGGGTGATTTCCGGTTGGGACAAGATGGTTCTGATTTCTCTACTACTTCAAAGTCCAAAACGGGAACAAGGACAAGGCAAAAGAGTGGAAGAAAAATGGAAATGACAAGGGTAATGTTGTTAAGGGAAATGGCAATGGAAAGGAAAAGCAATGCGTTGGACCTTCGACAAACAAAGGACAAAATAGCAAGTTTGATGGCTGTTTTATTTGCAAAGGACCACACATAGCGAGGGACTGTCCAAAATTGAACGGCTTTCAGATTTGTTTACTAAAGAAAAAAGTGAAGATGAGCCGAACGAGGAAGAACATGAGCAGGCAGCAGCATATTTAGGGCCTATGGTGGTGCTGAAAAATACGGAAACTACTTCGTCGAGGACGACGAATTCTTCTAGTGAGGGTGGTTTGTTAGCCACTTGACAAAGGTCCTCGGCAGGTATGGGTTGTGACAAGGATTTTCATGATGGCCTTGGCACACAACCTGAAAAATTGGGCAACATCATGATGGGCTGCTCGGCATAACGGACTATGTGGGGTTGACAAACGTACCTTAAACGGAAGCAAGGCGCATTTTACTTGGACGTGCGGGTTGGCAAAATAATGGCAAGGGAAAGCCATGTCAAAGCAGGGGAAAAGACATGGCAAGGCAAGGCAAGGCAATGCGGTACAAGCAATGACAATTGATGCGGGCAAATTTAATTAAGTTGGGGGCGACTTGACATAAGCGGGCAATTGTGGTAATGAACGTGTGCGGCTAAGTCAGTGGGTGGCGAGTTGGGGCCATGACATTGGTGAGGAGCAGTGTCAAAGGCAAGGCTGGGCGCAATGCCAGCCTTGGCCACGAAGCAGCTGGGCAAAACAGGCACATACTGTGCATAAGCAGCAGTTGAAAAACGTGTGCAACGCACATGGAAGGCAGTTGGTGGTTACAAACCACAACCAAGACATGGCTGATCATGGCCTAAAAATGGGGGCATGTTTTTGTACTTGTCTTAACTTGTTTGCCCATCAGTTGGGGCTTGTCAACTGATTGTATTAGCCTGCCTTATAAATATGTGCCTAGGCTGTCCTAAACAAGGCAGAAAATAGCCAATTTCGTCTAAGTCATTTCCTAAGGGTGGGAAAATTGTTTTGGGGCAGGGAATTCTTTGTCTTAGCCATAGGGTTGACTATTGTGTTCTTGTATTCACATATTAATACGACTTGGGAAGAAATTCTTGTATATCGTGTGTGCTTTTATTTACTGTTTTTGCTGCCTAAATCTTTCTAAGTTCAAAACGTCCCTAAAATAAAACTAAGTGTTGGAAAGGCTGAAGTCAAAGGCTGGGCTTGACTGCCGTACGGAGGTGAAGCTCGGGCAGAATTCGAGTGACATAAATCACCCCGGTGACAGTAATCACTGTTTCCACTCTATTGGAATATTGCTCAAAAATCATCTCAAGTAGTCTTCCGAGCACGGTAAACTACATCCATCGTAATTTTCATGAGATTCCACTTATTGTACGTATAGTTGTTCTTCAGCTATCCTATTTTGGGTTCAATAATCTTGTTAACCCTTTTACTGTCTACTTTTTTATCTTCAACTTTCCTATCCTGGGTTCAATAATCTTGTTAATGCTTTTATGGTCTACTTTTATCTTGTACAAATCGTTCGTACCTTTTCCTCGTCCAACAACGAATTTGCGTCCTTTTTCAGCAAGTCTTCCATAGTAAGACGATTACCAACCATACACCCGGTTCACCTTTTATCTGAGCTCGTTTTCTGTTGGTGATGCTAAGCTTCACTTGAGTATGACAAACACATTCTGGAAAGATGTTTACTTCATTTTTGACAATATTGAGCAATATAAGAGTTAAATTTTTCAACCCTCCATTGTTATACGACATTTGGAACTTCAAAAAGCATCGCTAAGTCCAAAATTTCAGATAGTATACTTTCTTCCAGTGTACGTGAGACAAAACAAATTAACCCCACCAGAAGGTATCATCACTGTGGACAAATACTGATATGTCAGAATCACCATTTCAAGAAAGCTCAACTATAGAACAACTTTGCACGGCTAAAAGCAAAAGAATTATAGTTAAAACTTCATCATTGGCGAAGGGTTACCACATATCTGATTTGCATTTTTTCCTGATCAAGCTATCCATGTTTGCGGGGGAAGAATCTTCAGAAATTTAATCTGCATTTCTTATCAAGTAATCAATTACAACAACATTGTTGTGAAACGTGAAAAATCAGCATGTTTTATGTTACAGAATCATAATCACATAAATATCTAAATCATGAAATGGACATATCAACGCATCATCTTCTCCCAGCCTTAGCTCCAATCTGTAGGTTGTTCATCTGCTCAGACCCTGTTATAATATTGTGATGTTACTCTGCATAATTTGAGAAGATGCAAAGGTCCAGTTCCATTTAGTGTCTAGTTCCATTTAGTTAAGCCGGTTAATCAGTTGAAAGCCTAAGGACTTCTATATTTTGTTACAAAGAAGGAAACTTCAGTTTGGCATGCACATCCCTATTATTCTTGGGCATCAAGGTCAGGTTTTGACGGGTATTCAAGACCATGAAGAGCAGGTATCCGTCTTAAATCTTCTTCAGAGTAAGCTGGAATGAACCAATATCGCTTGTCCATGCCAAACACCTGATCCATATAATACAATCTTAGAACGTTAAAACAAGACATATCTAGCTTTTCTTTATAAATATACAACTACGTCTTAGTCCCAAACAAGTTGGGTGGGCTATATGAATCCTCACATCTCCATTCAAGCTCAATTCACACCGTCATTATACCAAATAAAAATAAAAGCGAACTTCTCTTTCTAAATATGAAACATATATATATATATATAACATGTAACACGATGAAGGCGAGAGCCAACAAAACTCGATTAGGGGGCTCGTCGGGACCAGTTTGGATTAGACTATAGAATCTAATTTTGACTTACGTTAGAGTCAGTTTGGCTTAGCTAATTTAAAGTAACTGACAAGCATTAAGTGCTGAAAGGCATTTTTAAGTGCTGAAATTGGTAATTAGCAGTTGAAGTCTTTTGGTAAAAAGGAGCTGACAAGCACGATAAGCACTTTCCCCTGTTAAAAGACTTATACAGCCTTAAAGTTGTTTACATTAACAAGGACATGATTATTACAAGATTTCGAATTTCAAATGGATTCAACAACAACAACAACCCAGTGGTTTCCTACAAATGGGGTCTGGAGAGCGTAAGATGTACGCAGCCTTACCCCTACCTCTGGAAGGGCAAAGAGGCAGCTTCTGATAGTTCAAATCGATTCAAATCAAAAAAATTATGTTTCAATTTATTTTTAATTCAAACTTTAATAGATAAGCTAATTTTACATAGATAAAATTATTTTATGATAAGCTTAAATTTAACAATTAATAATTTGTTGATCAATGTTGAACCTTAGACGAAAAATATGAATAAAGAATACGCCATAGCACAAGTACAAAAAACAAAATGCATATATCAAAATAGCTCGAAAGGAACGAGGAAAAAAAAAAAGGAGATTCAAAAGAAGTTGCAAAATACACAACCATACAACCTTATACAATAATACACCAGAGAATTTAAGAAAATAAGGAAAATTTTCTCAACCAAATATTGTCAAGGAGAATCTGCAAAATATTTGTTGTTGACATTGAAGAGGGGTGACGGAAGTTCAAGGTCGGGAAGAAAAAGTGGGAGGGACATCACCTAAGTTGCACGGACTCTTTGATTTTGGTGTCGCACCAGTCTCGACACGGGACGGGGATGGGAGCTGGAGTGGGAGCGGGATACGTCCCGGATTCGGGCAACCGACTTCGGACACTTTGACCGGAGTCCATCGAGAAATTTGGGAGAAAAATTGAGATTTTGATTTATCAAAATCAAAAATAAAACAGATATAAGATATGGAAAATGGCATACCTTCAATATTGTAGTATTTTTGTCTCATATTTGCTACTTTGTGTGTCAGAAAAACCAAGAATTCAGTTCTGATTTCGGACTTCTTGTAGACCCAGCAGCGATCGATACAGATGGAACTTGGTGGAAGGCATTGAGTGGCTTTCTTTTTCTTTTATGAGGGAAGAACGAAGAGACGTGAACAAAGCGTGAATGACGATCTGTAAGAGCTTGAAAGAAGTTGGAGAATTTTGAGCATCCGTAAGAGCTTGAAAGAAGTTGGGGAATTTTGAGGAAGACGACCTAGAAGAGAAGCGAACTAAGCAAGATCTGCAGTTCCTTCCTAAAGGACTCTTAATTGTAATAATATAATAAGATAACCCCTTTATTCTCCATACTTGTGACACGTAATTGAAAGGCACTTAATTGCTATTTGTAAATGTTTTTTTCTCATACAATATAGGAATAATTTCTAAATTGATAATTAGCATGTTGATTTTTTGCTAAATAATTTATATATTTTAATCGAGCAAAATTAATTTATACGAAATTATTTACTAGTTGAACATAATTTATCATAACTTAGTATTATATAATTTTTAAATATGTATATTTTATTTCGAAAAACTAAAAGATTCTATGTCCAAATGTACAATCAAAATTAAGAAGTTTGAATCTCGAAAAAAAAAATTGTATATAGGATAGAAGAAGTAATAGATATTGACATAATTTATAAGTTATATCGTCTAACTTTGATGTTGAAGTTTAAATTCTCAAATTAAATTAAACATGTGACTAACTTGTAACCACCAATTGAGGGAAATTGTGAATAACTAAATTGTAGAAAAGGCTAACTATAAATCAGATAATTTGAGAATGAATTGAAAATAACTAAGAATATCTTTATAGCTCTATTTTTTATTATTTTGAATTTCCTTAGCAGAATTCCCGCACCCGTATCCATATCCGGATCCGCACCCCCGAATCTTAAAATTTAGATTTTGCCGAATCCGATACTCGGATCCGTCCCCGTATCGGATACCCACACCCGAGCCCGAGCAACTTCGAAAATGTATCGGGTATGGATACGGGTAGCTAGAAAATTTTCTTAGCCGAATCCCCTTAATTATCACATAATTTATTAAAGGTAATCGATTTTATTGCACATCTAGTTAGTTTTTGCCCATCTTTTTTATAAGAATTGCAGCTACATTTTGTTACGAGTCGTAGTGATTTTTAAGCATAGTGCGGTTCATTCAAGAAATTCCTACCTCTTTCTAGTAATTAATAAGATACTAATAAAAAGTAGTGATTAAAATGGGTGAAATAATATTAAATCAAAAGGAGCATTTTATGTGATTTTAGGCAGCAAGAGAAGCATAAAGCCAATAATGTCAAAAAGACTTGGAATTCAAGGTCTTTCCTCCGCAATGATTTTTATGCAGAGTTCAACGCTTCGCTAAAACACAAAAATCATGCCCTTAACAACCATTTGGGGCACTTAATGCATCTTAATGCATTCCAATATGTCATGTTCAAGCAATAAGGGGAGTAATAGGAAATAGCATATATTTTCCAGAAAATGTGTAATAAATCTTGTGCTCTTTTCTTTTAATGTCAAGGTTCCAAGTAATAGATCCTATGATTCTAATTCAAGACTAGTTGCAATTGCAAAAAGTGAGTTTATAACCGTACTTCTCAACTGCTGAATATCCAACAAATAAAAAATCATTCCCCTCTTATTTTTGCTCTTCCAGCTTTTAAGTTAGTTGTCTTCTATACTACCGTGTATAGAGCCTCCGATCTTGCCAAAAGAACATGTCAGGAACTTACATAATTGCACTCAAATAGAAAATGATGCCATAGTCCAGCCTGACACTAGGTCCTATACAAATGGTGATAGCTTTGTCTAGAATAATGACATGCAGGGGCGTATCTAAGTAGAGGTGTGTGGGCTCACGCGAACCCATGCTCCACTTCCTAAATCATGGATAGCAAGTCATATCTCTTCAAAACTACTTGAATATATATGTATGCACCCAAGTTCAAAGAGGTGTATGGTGCAATGGTTACTGGGTGCACCTCTATTTTCTTTAATTCATTATTGGGGGCACCTCTATAAGTGAGGTTGAGGGTTCAATTCCCACACGTTTTAGTTAAGTACTTTTTTCTGTCTGTCTATGTTTTTTTTTTTTCGCCAGGTTTTTTGTTTGGCATGTTCTTTCAAAATCCCAAGTCTATTGAAATTACTATTCTCCTTTTCTAATAATAAAGTTTTATAGCAGCACTAGAGGATGTAGCATAAGTCGATGGGTTCAACTAATTCCAACACTTTGGACACAAAGTGTGTGTGTGTGCGCACGCGTGCGCGTGCATGTTTGAAAAATCATTACAATTTCAAAAATAAAATTGTTTGTTCAATGGTAAGAATCTAAAGGTTGAACCCGCCAAATTTAAATCCTAAATTCGCCTATTCATAATTCTTCACTCATCTTCTTGAAATCCTGGATCCGCTCATGGCGTCAAGTAGGTGATAGCTTTGTTGACTATGTTCATTCAGATAGCATAAGGAGGTTGAACCCACATTTCAAAAGTTAAAAGAGGTAAACTAGAAAGTGAAGATACAGCACAGAAGTTGCAGTTAAGTTTACCCACAATTCTTGTGTTATACTTTCTCCATCATTTTTCATTAAACTAATGGAATTCGTCATTGAATCACCGCTATGAGATAACAGCATTTTTGTATAACGTGATTAATTGCCATCACATGTGTATATCATATTGTGTCCTATCCAGATCCAGAAATTCACTTTCCACATACCTCAGAATGAGCACTTAGATCCAGTGTAATTGAAAGTGTTCTTTCTTCTGTAAATTTCTGTTGTTTTTAACATTCCAACCATGTGTTCCAGATTATTTCCATAAATCTCGTGCTTCATTATACAAACCATATCTTAAATTTAATATCAGAGCACAACATTATTTAGAGAAGCATCTAAAGCATCTATCACATAGAGAACAAACATTCTATCAGAACTAAGAAAATAACTATGGCAGTCTTGTGCAAAGTCATCTAACCTGTTCAAAGTTCCTCTTCCGACCAAGATCATAACGCCATTTTGGACTAGTTTTCTTCTCATATGCCTGAAAGCAAGACAAGCCTTCAAAACGTGCCCAAAACAGTAGTTTAAAAGAGAAAACTGCAAAGAAGCGACAAGGTACATGGGGCCTGATGCGAAAACGAGAAGTGAAGCACACGCTTCATTAAAGTGAAGCGCACAAGTCACAGAAAATTAAAGTGACAAACATATATGAATTTAGTACTATAATAATCAATTGCAATTAAACTAACAAATTATCCAGTTCATCAAAGTTGGGACTCCAAGAATCAGTCGCTTCTCATCAGGATCAATTTGATCCGTTATTATTTGAACCTCACGCTTCTCTAAAACGCATAGTTTTGCCCATGAAGCTATAACTCCTCGCTTCACATCAGGTCATCACTTTAAGCAACAAAGTGATGGCTTTCAATAACAATGGCCCAGAAAGCCTTATAGAGAAAAACTGGTTTCTATTAAGAAAGGTCCTAACATTGCTGTTGCATCCAACTCAGGGATTAAATCCCACCAATGATTGAACTAATGAAACCAAAATAGATGGCTAGGCTGGTTGGGTGTTCAGTACTTCAGTTGACTTTCAGAACCTTGTTTGCAAGTCTATAAAGGGATACCGAGTTTATTAATTCTATGGGGGGTCATGTTCTGACTTGAACGGCCGCCACCAGATCCGCAGGTAAATCATAGGCTCTGGGTACATCTCTGGCTTTAAACAGGAGACCTAATGTAGGGAAAGCAACAGGAAATGAGAATTCTTTCTATACTTAAATTTATTTATTTTCTCTTTTGGGGATGACTGGGAACATACAAGAGCAATCTTCATGATTTGTAATAGCGGGAACCTAGTTTTTACAAGGTGATTGAACAAAGAATCAAATACAGATGATTCAATAATTTATCTAGCACCAGATAATTTACCAAACCGAAGACAGAAATTATAAGACTAGTTTTGACCTTACAAGTGAAGAATTATGTGTACTGCATTAAGGATGTTTCAGATTATTAGGCCTTTCATAGAAGAATAAAACTAAAAACTTCAAGTTAAAACATGAATATGAAGAGTGTAAGTACCTCAATAGTTGTGGTATTACCGGCCACCAAAGATATGTGCATAATCAGAAATCCCAGAACACTCAAAGCAAACGCAAGGTTCAAGACTGAAATGCACAATTAATGTGGTAAATTAAGAGGACTGGTGCATCTCAAAAAGAAATCATAGATTGGGAGTTTCAAAAGACAACAGCTAAACCTTACCAAAAGCAAGGAATGTGGTTGCGAGGGTGCCCGGAGTCCCAGGTATCTCTCCATCACTGAAGAAAGCAATAAATTGTGGCAATAATGATAAAGTCACAACAGTGGTTTCCAGGAATGTGTAGAACTGCAGTAAGAAAGGTTATACTTAGTTGGAAAAAAGTTGGTACATATATATTGCAATGCAAAGAAGTGCTATGACAATTCCCAAATATGTATCTTTACGTGCAAGTTGAAGCATACAACACTATCGATCCTCCCAAATTGGGAGGGATTTTTGAAGAAAAAAAAAACAATTGAAGCATACAAATATCAACTGACAGGCACCAGCATGGAGGAAGAATGTGGACAAGGATAAACTCTCAATATCAACTATCACTTTCAATACTCTAAGAAAACCACATTGTATATGACAAAATGGCTAGACAAATTTTGGCAAATGCCATGTTACAGGAAACGGTGATAGAATAAGTTCCTCACAAATTAACATATAAAATGGCCAGTCAAATTTTGGCAAATGGCATGTTACAGGAAACAGTAATAGAATAAGTTCCTCACAAATTTACATTAACAGATTAACAATGGTCAGATCCAACAACAACAACAACAACAACAACAACGACCCAGTATAATCCCACAAGTGGGGTCTGGGGA